TGTGTGTGTGTGTGTGTGTGTGGCCAGCTCAGCCCACCAGGGGGCGGGGCTGGCGGGCATGTGGTGCTGGGGTATTGAACCGTGGTCCCAGTGCTTTGCTATGCTTGTTCTAAGTAGGTGCTTTAGACCACTGGGCCATCTCACCAGCCCCCGTACTGAGATTGATTTGCTTCCTATTCCTTCAGAATGAAAGCCCTTGTTATGATCTCTCTCCCCAGCCTCATGTTTTTCTGTGAAGTCTACTTTCTATCGTAAGAACATAGTGGCATATTCTATTAACTTTTACATTACTGTTGTCCAAAACTGTCTCTAGTCCTATAGTTCTCTTATAAATGTGTGTATTTGCATTCGATGTCCAGAATAAAGAGCTTTGTTTAATTGTTAGAATAGATAGATAGATAGATAGATAGATAGATAGATAGATAGATAGATAGATCGGGTATAGAGTATGCACCTGTGTTGCAGCCTCTGGGAGGCTGAGGCTCAAAAATTCAAGCGCAGCATAGCAGCTTAGAAACTTGCGAAGACCTTGTCTCAAAATAAAAATAAAAGAGACTGATGGTATAGTTCTGTGCAGAGACCCTTGGTACAACCCTGAGTACTCCCCTAAAATTTATACACACACATACAGTAATCCTAAACTTACCATTTTAAGCCTGTAGTTCTTTGGCCCTCATATATTCATACTGTTGTACAACCATAGCACTATCTATCTCCAGAACATCTTCCTTGACACAGTATACTGCTAACACCAACTCTCCATTCTGCCCTCCCCGCAGCCCCGGGTGTTTTACATTCTGCCTCTATGGCTTTGACGGTTCTACATACCATGTATAAGTGAATCATACACTATTTGCCCTTTTGAGACTGGTGTATTTCATTTAGCATAATGGATTGTCTTTTCAGGTTGAACAGTATTTTATGTATGTGTATATGCACATGTATGTGTGTGTGTTTCTGTTTGTCACATTTTGGGTTGGACTCCCCCCCCCCCAGTATTGGGGATCAAACCCGGTACCTCATACATGCTAAGCATCCTTTCTGTTGTCACATCTCCATGCCTTTATGCTATGTTTTGCTTTTCTGTTCATCCATTGGTAGGCACTTGAGTTGTTTCCTGTTTTGAGTTATTTTGGATAATGCTACTATAAACATAGGTGTGAAAACATGTATGTGAAGGCTTGCTTCCATTCTAGATAGTTAAAATCAACTTAATTCTTTTTTTTTTTTTTTTTTTTTTTTTTTGGTGGAACTGGGGATTGAACTCAGGTCCTTGCGCTTGCCAGGGAAGCGCTTATTCCACTGAGCCATCTCCCCAGCCCCAAAATCAACTTAATTCTTAATTGATAAATTGTAATATTTTAACTAATTAATGTATAAGGCTTTTAAAATATAGTTTACTCTATGCTGAAGATTTATTTAAAAGTTTAGAAATCAGTGATGTACCATTCCCTTCTCCATAGGGTACCAGCCGTCCTTCGCACTATCATGTTTTATGGGATGATAATTGCTTTACTGCAGATGAACTTCAACTGCTAACTTACCAGCTCTGCCACACTTATGTACGCTGTACACGATCTGTTTCTATACCTGCACCAGCATATTATGCTCATCTGGTGGCATTCAGAGCCAGATACCATCTTGTGGACAAAGAACATGACAGGTAATATAAAACCATAAGAAATATATTCTAATCCAAATATGTTCTGATTTATGTAAGAGATTTCTCTTAGCCCTTCCATATAAAGTATGTGCTCCTCTGTTTGCAATAGATTAGTGTCCCTTAGAATTAAAGTTCAGGGGCTGGCCTAGTAGCTCAATTGTTTAAGTGCCTGCTTAAACGAAGCAGTCAGCCTCAGAGTGCTGTGGTTGGAATTGCCTGTTCCTCAGGCCTTACCACACATGCCCTGAAGGCAACCTGAGCCAGCACCACC